TTGTATTGACGCCATCGAGCCTCATCTACCCCTTTTGATTCCCTACTTGATCAACACCTTGAACGACCCCAAGGTACGCCCCGCAAAGTCAATGATAGTCTGCTAAGCTCATAATGCTGTCACAGCCACTCGTCCGATCTATCACATGCTGGACCCTTGGCAGGTACGCGAGCTGGTGCACCCAGCCAATCTCAGAAGAGCACAAAAATCAGTTCTTCGTCCCGACTCTGGAGGGCGTGAGTGCGTTCGTACTTTGACACGGGTCATCTCGTTGACCTCGCGTTGGCAGTTGCTACGTATGGTACTGGATAACAACAAACGGGTCCAAGAGGCCGGGTGTAGTGCGTTCGCTACCCTCGAAGAGGACGCAGGACCTGAGCTAGCGCCCTACCTCGAGCCCGTCCTGCGGAACCTCGTCTTCGCTTTCGACAAGTACCAGCACAAGAACATGCTCATTCTATATGACGCTGTTGGTACGCTCGCTGATGCCGTTGGCTCAGCACTGCAGAACCCGACCTACGTCGAGATCCTCATGCCGCCATTACTCAAGCGGTGGTCGAAGCTGAAGGATGATGATGACGATCTCATTCCTCTCCTGGAGGTAGGCGATGCATGTCCAACTCGTCGGTTCAATCACTGACGGGACACTCTCTCCAGTGTCTTGCTTCGGTGACGATCGCGATGGGACCTGCGTTCCTCCCGTACGCTGGTCCGATATACGACCGCTGCCACTCGATCGTGCACACCTCTCTGCTGCAATATCAAGCGTACCAGCAGAATCCCGAGATGGACGAGCCTGATAGGTCATTCCTTGTCGTTGCGCTGGATCTACTCTCCGGATTGACGCAAGGACTTGGCATGGCACTCGAGCCGCACATCACGCGCACCCAGCCGAGCCTGCTTCAGCTCCTCACCATCTGCTTGAAGCACCCGCATGCGGCAGTACGGCAATCAGGGTATGCTCTCGTCGGCGATATGGCGATGAACTGCTTCCCTCTCCTCCGGCCCCACGTCCCCGCAGTTATGCAGGAGCTGATTGCGCAGCTCGACCCTGAGCCCAAAGTCGAGTTCATCAGTGCATGTAACAATGCGGCTTGGGCGGTTGGTGAGATCGCACTCCGGTTCGGTCGCGGTGAGTACCGTCCCGGTGGTGACTCATGATCCACACGCTTATCTTCACAACCAGACGACCCCGAATTCCAGCAATGGGTCTCCACCCTCATCCAGCGCTTGGTCCCCATCCTCCTTCACCCGAAGGCGCCCCGCAGTCTGCACGAGAACGCTGCGGTGTCAATCGGTCGTATCGGCCTTATGCATCCAACGTTGGTTGCACCCATCCTGCCGGAGTTCGCGCAAGCATGGTGCCAAGCGCTCTACGAAATCCGCGACAACGAGGAGAAGGACTCGGCCTTCCGCGGGTTCTGCACGCTTGTGCAGACCAACCCGGCCGGCATCATGAAGGTGAGCGTTGCTCACCCCATCTCCTGGCAAAACACCTCGTTGATGCTGAGTGATCTCGTGCGCAGAGTCTGTTGTGGTTCTGCAATGCCATTGTGCGGTGGAACCAGCCCTCGCCGGAGCTCAACAACATGTTCCAGCAACTACTGACCGGCTTCAAGCAGCACGATGCCGTCGGATGGGCTGCGCAGGTCGCGACATTCCCTCCCGTCATCCAGGAGCGCCTCGCGACACGGTACGGCGTGTAGGTGCAAAGGTGCGGCAGCTCGTTTGGTGGTCCTCTGTGCTTTCGTCTCTGTTCGCTCTGTATCACAAGAATCTGAATGTCTCGGTACCTAGTCTCGCCCCAATGTTGTCATCGCTCCTTTTTACCCTTACATTTGTTGCATCTGTCCCGATATCTCTCTCTACGTCCGCATCCCCTCATGTTCCGCACCCACGCCCGCGTCCAGGTACATATCTCCCACCCTCCCTGCATCCGGATCTTTTACGTAGTGTAGTATTCATCTTCGCACCCACGTCCCGCCTTTTTACACTCTTCGCATCTTCCGCTTCACGCCTTCTTTCGCTTGATTTGCCCTCGTGTCCAGTGGTGTCCCCAATGTCAATGTGTCTGTGTCGATCATCACCCGCCGCGCCCACGGCTTTTGTTCATGGCTTCTGCAATGGCTCAAAGTGCTACGCCATAGCCAATTTTCCTCTGCTGACCGTTTTGGGTCCAGCCTTCCCGGCAGCATCGAGCGATAGGTCGCAGGAATCTGTGAGGGGATCATGGTGATCAGTACTTCTGATACAGACGAACGTGCTGTGCGCCTTGGCCTACCTACCATGGTGTAGCATATTGCGGGCATTGTTCAAGGGAGTGAGCTAATTATACAAGCTTAATCTCGACCAACGGAGGCGAACCCCCTGGGTGGTACCAGTCACGGTTGCTCGAGTATTCAGGCCTGTACGTGAAGTACGCAACCCTTCGATATACGCTCTTCCGGGTAGCCCCTCCCTCGTCGTCTAGCCCAGCGCAGGTTACCAGAAGGCCTTCCATACAAGATGTTCCTGGTATGTGCACCAACGGTATAGCCCATACGTTCCTGATTTCTGCGTCCTCCTGGCAATCAGTGTGCGTCTCGATTGGTAGCACTCGTACCGCTGTGGGAAGTGCTGAACCTGCTAGGAAGGGGCTTTGTGTACTACTGATGCCACAACGGCAGCTACGTTCTGTTGTTTGAAGCTGGTCTGTCACTGAGCTTGCATTATCATCCACCCCCTGCAAGAGTATGTGTCCGTGACTGCCACCGTTCCACTCGCATGGGAGAAGCGAAGCACGAAGAAATAGTGACCCGTCCGTGACCCGTCCAAAAGGCAGCTTCTTATCCTGGAGCGTGACGCTGCACTCGATGACATCCGCCAGAGGTTCCGTCGTAACGAAGCCAGATAGATGGGACTGGTCCCACGATACGCATCCATCTACAGACGCCCATGACCAGGAGGGTGCACGGTATGGAGAGGGACGGCAGGGATTGATATGCCCGGGTGAAATGTAGCTGACCCGCCACAAGAGGTCGTAGAGGAGAGATTTGCGCCACAGCCCGGCGAGGTACTCGGAGCCCAGGATACGCCCAAAATCCTCTGCTAGCCCAGCGCATGCCACAAGCTTGTCGGCAGAATGTGAGAGGATGCGGTCGGTGTAGTAAGTCAGCATGCGGCGCCAGGCATAGTACACGTCCAACCGTTTTATCGGATGGCCCCGGGACTGGAGGGTGGGCTTCAGGACGATGTCGGGTAGAGATGGGCGGTCCTGAAGCATCAGGTCTGTATGATCGAGGGAATACACGTCGTCCACGTTTTGCGAACCCGTTCGACACCAGAATTGCACAGTGGACGTTGTGAAGACAAGGCTTCGGCAAGACATCAAAGTCTCCTGCAGGCACCACGCCCGACTCTGCGTTCCAAGACGAGGGTGACTCAATTGCACACCACATTGGGTTAGAAATGCCTTGTCGTGGAGAAAGCCATCGTTGACACTCGCTGCACCAGCGGCGTCGATCGTGAGGAAAGCATGACGGTAGATGTACCGCATCCGGCCCAGTTCACGCTGTAGGTCCTCCGGCCAGTCTTGGACGATACACAGGCTGTCGATCCACAGAAGTCGAAAGCCGAGCACGTGCGTAACATAGATGGCGTCGCGTATGGTCTGCGGAAGACCGATAGGGTTGATGCCGTCTATGTACGAAGCCAAGTTGGCCCTGCAGGTGCGATGAGATTGAGGTCCACCCCAGACATAGCTCAGTGTCACATAGACACCTTTTGCATCGGGGCCCATCTGAACGATGCGCGGACGGGAAGGGTTGGAACAATCGATGAGGCGGGTCGGGAGAGGAGCTGACCGGAGGGGATGAAGTGCGAATTTGGTGCATATCGAATGGTTGCTCCAACACTCATGGATCAGTCGCTTAGCTTTAGAGAGCGTCCCCGCAGAACTTTCGGTCGTGATACAAGCTCGGTGCGAAAGCCGCGAGCGGGCAGTGTACGCTAACATTTAACGCGAAGCTGGCGTTAGCACCGTAAAACGTTGGTACATCTGTGCAGACATACATGCTATGTGCCAACCCAAAATCGAGGGGCCATTCAGTAGGAGCCTGAGCCTAATGAGGAGTGCAGAAGAAATCACACGTTCTGTGATCTTCTTGCGGATATGGGGGTCGCGATGGCTCTCTCCTCGAATGTGCAACCGCCCACTAGGGTAGTACGTTCCGATCACTAGTTTAGCCAGCTTACGTAATGGCTGTACCAGGGATCGACACAATGTGCAACCAAAGACTACATCAGATGGCAAGATTTCCGGTGAGACAAAGTTATCATCCCCTGTACATGTGGGTCAGACTCACCTTGTTGACCATGTCTTAATGAACTTGAAGAAATTGGCCCTCCGGACAATCCGAAGTGGCCACCCACTACTTCGTGCCTGCAAGATGGGCAAAGAGAAACCTGAGGGGCTGTCATCATTCAAAATGATGGGCTCAGGAGAGGCAGGGGGAGGGGAGCGTAAGCCGTTGAGTTATATAGGGGAGAGGACCATGGCTTGCCTGTGAAGGAATCGAGCGGGATGTATGTATCAAGTTATCATGGTAGCCGCGTGAGCTAGAACATCGGGCAATGCGAAGTATTACCGCTCGTTTCGATCAAAGGATGCGTCCATGTCGGACGCAGCGCGGCTGGGTGGTATTTGGAGCCATGAATGGCCGAGGCTGTATGACTGCAGAATTGCTACGATCATGTGCGAGATGATGGGTATCCTATAGTAAATGATGGTTTGTATCCCTACTCAATTTGTGGAGCAGATGCCTAGATAAACACACCCGCTTCAATGCAAAAAGGATTTGGATGATGAGTAGACGCTTACCTCGGTCCTCATAACCCTGTGACGTCCATTCCCCGCACCCCATTCTCCTGAGGATGGGATAAACGAAGCAACCCGCTAGTGGCTTGATCGTTGAGGCCTTGAGGCCGAGGAGCAGGTGACCACTCACCCTTCGACGCAGCAAGAACCCTTGGCACAGTGGTAGCGCGTGAGATTCCAGCGATCGATCATTGCCTCTTTGGGCTAAGCAGATCACGTGGCCTCCTCAAGGTCGTCCGTTCGATCCGGGCAGGGTTCACTTTTGAAATCCTTTTTGGCCATCGATCCGGATGAGAAAACCCCTCTGTTTCCATCTCGATATTTACCGCGGTCATGTACACTTTTGTCTTGCCTTTTTGCAGTGCCTGAAATTCCGAGTAGGCTATGTAGTGCAGTTCGAGAGCTAGGATAACTCGGAGTACCGCTTGCAAGCGCCTAAGCGCCTAACTGTTCTAGATCTCATAGTCCGTGGATTAACTGCCAGACGCTCATGAATAGCCTCCGTCGCGCGGATAATCATCTTGAGGGTACGTTGGAGATATATGCAAGTGGAGAGATGGCTGCCCATAAAATGGCGACAGAGGACAAGGCAATAGATCCAACAAGTAGGCTCGGCCGCCAAAGCGCCAAGGAGGCAGAAGCATAGTATACGTACTAGTAGAAGTAGACGGGATTTATACAACTTGTCCAGATATTCCAGATCCGAGTCCGTATACGAAGAAGAAGCATCGCGACTCAGCCAATCCGAGAGATACTAAGCGGTCTCAGGAGGCGGCTGTGTCCATCGCTGGATAAGATCATGTAATCCAAGGTCCGTCTCGATCTGCAGATGACCAACACGGCGTTAGCTATGGACAGTCCTAGCCGGAGATGTGAGAGGAGTCGATAGCTTACTTGATGCTTCAATGCGAGGTCTTCGCGGCCTGCAGAGGAGCCAAAGACGGCGTCGACTTCCTCCAACGAGACGTTTGCCGTCTCGGGCACTGCACATGTCGACCAGACGTACCCAAGTGAGCATGCGATTGCAAAGATCAGAAACGTTGCACTAAGCAGGACGTCAATATATGCGTCGTAGGATGCAAGGAGAGAACGTACGACGCGGAACACTCCATGAAAACTGGAGTGAGCAGGCCGATGAGGACTATGCATCCCGGAACCCTGTAGTAAGTGCTCTGGTACCCCTTTCCATAACAGTACGCTCACAGTTGTTCATCCAGTTCGACGCCGTCGACAGCGCCACACCCTTGCTCCGCGCCGAGAGCGGGAAGACCTCGCTAGGGAGGATCCATCCGATCGGGCCATAGCTGATGCCGTATGCCGCGGTGAAGATATACACGCACATCAGCGCGACGCGTGCGGCCAAGGCGTGAGATGGCCAGTCGATGCTGTACGTCCAAACGAGACTCGCGATCAGGAGGTGCGAGAGCGCCATGACGAGCGAGCCTCCCCGAAGCAGTGGGCGGCGACCTACACACCAATGTGAGGTCGTACGTGTGGATGTTAATGTGGACGGACGAACCAAGACGGTCAATGAATGCAATCGCGGGCAGGACTGCGAGGAACTGGACGATGCCGACTCCACCCGCAGACATGAGCGTCGCAGCATCACCCTGCAGACCCAGGGAACGCATCAGCGTTGGCCCATAATACAGAAGCGCGTTAATCCCGCTCCATTCTGCAATCTCAGGTGAGTGTATGCGGGACGACGAGGACGGATGGCCCGCGTACGCTGGAAGAACATCATCGTGACGCCGATGAGGGTGCGTTTGCGCAGCTTCGGAGTGAAGAGACGTTGCCAGGCGTGCCACTCGGCATGGAGTGTGCCTTGTTTATTGCTTTGGGCGGAGGAGTCGGCGGTAGCCGTCTGCTCTATGAGCGCTGCTTCGATTTGCATTTCCAAGAGTTCGATCTGTGGAGTGTATTGATAGGCCGTCTATCGGAACACAGCATATATATGCTTACCTGAAGTAAGGGGTCGGACTCGATCTCGCTTCGCGACCTGAGCCTCAGCTTGGCCAGTGAGCGCAACGCCTCTTCCGTCCTGCCCTGCTGCACAAGAAGCCTAGGAGAAGGCGGGAGCGCCATACATCCAAGGCCCAGGAGGAGTCCAGGGATTAGCTGGAGACCAAGCGGTATACGCCAACAGGCAGAGCCTGGGATGTTACGCGTGAAGAAACCCGTCCAGAAGCCGAGGACAGCACCGAGGACGATGGCGAACTGCTCGAGTGCCATGAGCGAGCCGCGTACTTCGGGCGGGCTGATTTCGGCCATGTATAGAGGTGACAACATGCTGTACAGTGTAGAGAGTAGTTTGGGCGTTCATGAGTTACTGCGCTGAGAATGCGATGAGGGTTACTCACCTGAGTGCACCAACGCCAAGGCCACCGATCCCTCGTCCAATGATGAGATGATTGGGACTCTGGGCCCCGAACTGAAGGGCTGAGCCCAGACAGAATACGGCTGGGCGCATATGAGACGGGACCGGGGTTGCTAGCCGAAAAGAGAGGTTACTCACCGCACGCTGTGAATATGGACTGCCGTCGCGAGTACTTGTCTGCGAGAGTACCCGCAGTCAAGGCACCTAACAAAGATCCCAACTCCAATGCAGCCGCTGTGCACGACGCATCATACATGCGTACGACACCCCAGTTCATCTTTCATGTTGCTGCACGAGGAATGTAGGCCGTTGGACGCACTCATTAGCCCCGTCTCCCAAGCACTCAGATGCCAACGCTGCACAAAGTCCTTCATGACGAGCACGTTTGCGATCACGCCTTGGTCATAGCCGAACGTCAGACCTCCGATGGAGGCAAATATCGCGCAGCCTAACGCGTAGTAGTTGTGTAGCAGGCCGGCTACTCCTGGAGGACCGTAGGCATATGTATAGCTTCTCCCGTCGGGGTGTACATGCAGAACGCCTCCATGTGGAATAACCTGGTGTGTTTCCGAGCTGATTGGATCTACGGCTACGGGAACGTATCCCGCCCTATTTCGTCCGGCCTGGGTACCAAGTCTTCTTCAGAAGGCGGACGATTAGCAGGCCATGATGTGTGGCTTACCATGCTGTATGGGCCCGCAGTCTCATAAGCTTCTTGTGGTGTCGTTACTCCAGGATTCTATCCACCACAGCATGCAACCAGAATGAGGCCCGACGTTAGATAGTAAGCTGAGGTATATGCTATGTGCGCCTTGCGCAAGTAACGAGAGACGGAACAAGCTGCTCGGGTTGTACCCTTCACCGCCGCTGGGCATGGTGGCGTCGGACCAAAGCATCCGAGATTCCGCCGCGCAAGCAAGCGCCCAATATCCGTAATGGTGCGCTTGGCATCTGAGGCAATGACCGGTGTACGACTGGTGTCGCACAAAGGGTGTGAATCACATACCACATAATATATTCTAGTGATATTGTCGGATGCCCAGGTGGAACTCATCTCGAAGTATATACTATAGTAGTACGACTCGGGAGTGGCCGTCATGTACACCGTACACGGCATTTGCCGCTTAGCGCTGGAAGACATACTGTGGCGTCGCAACGGCGCTTAGCGGCCTCAGCATCTCTTCAGCGAGCCGCTGCATGCAGCGCCTCGACTTTCGCTCGAGGGACTCTGCTTACGAACATCATACTCTGCGAAGGTTGCATTTGACACAAGAGTCTATCTACTATCTCGGCTGCTTCAATAGGTCGTGCAGCTCTGCGTAGCCGTCAAAACCGTTCAGATGAACCGGCGCACGCTGCTACTCTTGCTGCTCAGTTTCGTCTCTCTGTGTTTGGCCCAGGACATCTCTAGTGCAAATGCGACGAATTCTACGGACGATGGGTGCGTATGGCTTTAGTTTCTGCTTTGAACACGTCTTGGACCCGTGCGAGTGAGAACTTGACCGGTCGGATCGGGGTTCAGCGAACGGAGGCTGGAGGAACATACTCGACAAGAGTAGCGTATATGCTCACTCAACTGCGGTTTCCTCCTCTCCACGTCGCAGTAGAAAGCGCACCATCATCCTGGCAGCAACTTGGACAGTATCTCTAGCAAAAATACGATACAGAGTGGGGGCAGGATGCTGGCTCGTCTGCCCCAAATCACTGCCGGATGGGCGGGGTATTCCCATAGCTTCCGGGCTCACATGCTCGGTATTGCATGCAGATACCATTGAGCAGTCCTGTTGAGTCTCAATGATCGGCCGTATAAAGCTCTTTGGATCTAGGGCTGCTTATACCTGCCCGGAAGCCAAGTACTCCCGAAATGATTTGGACTCGTGAGGACCTGCAAACGTTGAATGCCCCCCCCCCCCCCCCTCCTTGATCGACTCGTTTGGACATGCAGGGAGTAATATTACTGACGGACTCATTGCCATTGCAGAAGCTTCCCATATGATCCAATTCTAGCTCATCGTCCGAGCTATGCACGGTCGCTTCCCGTACAAATACTCCTCCTTGGCATCACCCTCACCCTTACGGCCGTCCTCCTCATCCATCTTGCGTTCACCGCGCAATACCATTGGCCACTTGCACCTGTCAATTATGTGCTACAGATGTCGGCCGTCACCACCCTCCTCATCTCGTGTATCGCAACGATGCACGTAGTGCTGTCGAGCACGATCGAGCAGAGCCTAAAATGGCCATATATGCTTGACTACATCGCCGTCGACATCCCTCCACTGCAGGACAATACCGACTGGGAGATGGGCGAATTGGCGGCATGGCTCCTCATGAACGCCACGACATCCGGCCTCATTCAGGTATGCCGCATGCGCTGTCATACGAAGCGAGCGCTGACAGATAGCCCGCTTCAGATAACCCACATACAGTTCCTCACGCTGTTATTCCCGTCCGGCCTCGAGCGCCGTCTCATCTTCTCCCTACTTGGCCCCTTGGCGATCGTATCATCTGCTATGCACGTCCTGCGCATTGACGACAACGAGAATCTAGTAAAAATCGCTTCCGCCGTGCAAAACATCTGCAACGCCACGCTTTCCCTCCTATTCACTGGCTCGCTTTTCCTCTGGGGCTGCTTCGTCAACCGGCGCGATGCGTGGCGTACGGACGGCGGCACCGCGGCGTTCGGCATTGGTGCGCTGACGCTTGCGCTCCTGTCGACGGCGCTCACCTTCCTATACATCCCAAGTCGAGATCAGTATCCCTGGATGCCAGGCCTCATGTGGGCCGTCATCCTCTGGCAGAGCTTCCTCGGCTGGTGGTGGTGGGTCGGCGCCGGGATGGGCGTAGGCGAGATCGAAGAGCTCCTCCGCCGCGAGGAGAAG